ACACACACACACACACACACACACACACACACACACACACACACACACACACACACACACTCACCCCAACTCCGCGCCCGGGTGCTGCCTAGGGGCCGTGCAGGGCGCCGCGGTGGGGACCGGCCCGGCCAACGGAGCCTGCAGGCTCGCCCCAGCTCTCCCACACACATACACACACATACGCACATACGCATACACACACCCTCAAACCCCCAGGTCATCATCGAGTACGAGCAGGTGGCCTCTGCTGTGCAGGCCCGCAACACCATGCACGGCCGGAAGTTTGGGGGCCACGTAGTCATCGGCACCTACCTGTCCGAGGAGCTATACGCGGCTGGCGCCTACTAAGCAGTGCATTCCTGCCTGCCGCTTGCCGAGGCCAGCAGCGGCCGCGCCCCCGGCGCCGGCGAGCCGGCGGGCGCGTCGCGTGCGGTTGGGCGGCATGCGCGCTGCAGGTCGCTGTCTGGGGGATGCGCGTTTTGGGGCTGCCGATGGCGGCTGCCCGTATAACTGTGGTGTGTAGTTTGTTTGTATGGTGCACAGGTGTAACGAGTCGTCTCCAACCCCAATCAGGCTGGGAGGGTGAGCATACTTGTGTCAGCGCGGAGCGCGCCGCAGGCAGCTTGTGGCCGGAGTTTGTGCAAGCGGCCGTGTTGCGCCCCTGGCCAGTCCCTCGGCGGTGCTGCTGCCACGGTTTGAAAACCTTAGCGCGACTGATTGTGGTTGCCGGGATGGTCACAGTGCTGCTGCAGCCTATTGCGCACCCACGCATGATAAGTCGCAAGCAGAGATGCTGTGAACGAAGGAAGGGTGGGCCCAAAGCGGCGTCAAAGCAAGGCGGGTGGAGGGTGGCATGAGGCGCAGCGCAGGTGTCAAGTGGACAGGGAAGTGCCACAACTGCAGCATATACTGTACACACACTCACACCAAACACAGACACACACAGAGGCCAAGGGGGGCCACGCCAGCGGTGTGTGCGTACGCCAGACGAGTGGCCCTCACGAGCCAAAGCTCTGCTGGTCATCAACACGACCAAAACTGTGCAGCACTGGGAGACTGCAGCGAACCGCCGGTCCGCTGTGGCGCAGTCCCCTCCTTGCTATCCTCAAAGCTGAGTTGGCTACCTGCGAGGCTTCATGCCAGCGTGCCTGCCTGCCCTTGAGGCACCACACGGCCAAGCACGTCCCCAACAAGAACCACTCATACTCCTGACCGCTGTCTGCTTTACGGTCATTTTACCCCATCATCAGATGCTTTCTATGATGGTAACCCTCAACCCCAACCCTTCTGAGCTGCGATACGGCCTGAGGAGCGGTGACACTCGCTTGTGCAGAGGCAAGCCGCCCCGCCGTCTGGGCCGCTGCCACTGCTGCCTTGCATGCATAAGGAACGAGACGCTACTGCTTGGGCATGAGGGTAAATAAGTGGTGGCCACCATGCGATCCAGGCTCTAAAGGTCCAGGCTCGTGCATGCTGGGATGATTTATGAGCGGCCGGAAAAGGGATGTGTCACGTAGGGTCACGTGTCAGGCCTGCATGCAGGCCTGCGCCGCCGCCGCGTGCATGCGGGCCATGCGCGTGCATGCAGGCCATGCATAGACTGAATACATGTCGAATCGCGTCTCAGAACGTGGCAACGCTTGGCATCGAGGCCTGCAACATTCGTTTGATCATTGATGTGCGTGCTCGTCCGGAGGTGTACGGTCGTGCATCGCGGTATATTTATACATTTTTTGGTGCTTTTTTTATCATAAGCATCGTTTTGAAAGGATCGTGGTCGACTACACGGCCAGGTCTACTCGGAGGGTTGACCAGAAAATCATCAGCAAGGAGGGCATCATACAGGGGCACCCTCGACATTTTGGTGCTCAAACATGCTTGTCAACACCCTTAAGCATCCGGGGGTCTCCAGGCTGGGCGCCACTTGCAATGACATGGCAGCTCTGCATGCATCTCCACCATGCCGCTTGCGTGCCCTTGCGACAATACCCCCTGTAGCACGACCTGCACCCCTCCCCCTTGGGCCTTGCTTCGCAACCCAAGCTGACCGGGAGCCACTCGCATAACTCCTGGGGGGCCCAACACATAGTTGCACTTTGGTTTGGCGCTCCAGGGACTGGTGGTGTGTTTTGCGGTCTTGGGCTCACTCACCTTGAGAGTTTTGATGCTCCCGGCACCGCCGGTCCCACCTCTGGCCGAGCCGCCGCGCGCGCGGTGGCTGTGACGCCAGAGGCAAGGAGAGCCAAACCAATTTTCCAAACGCCGCGGCTTCAACGGCCGACGGCTCCATGCTGTTCTTGCTTTTGTGGAGAGGTGTCGATCCACTCACTGCCCTCTCTACGCACTTGCCGGCTCGGCAACAACAGGTGAATCACACCCTCTCCTGTCCTGGCTGTAGATCACCAGGCTGACAGCTTCAGTGCGGTCAATGCAGCAGTGCAGCGGTGTTCCACGCAGCAACAAAGCGCTGGCTGGTTGGCGCTGGACCGCTTGACATGCTCAGCCACGCATGAAGGGACGGCCCCTGATCTTAGTGGGGACGCTGGGCAATAAGGGGGTGCTGGCCAATAGGCGATAGCATTAAGAAAACCAAGGGGTAAAGGGAGGGACAGGCCCCTGGAAGCGCCGCACCCTGGTGGCGCCTGGTATGGTGTCAGAAGAGTGGACCCACAGCGCAGTCACTCAGTGCATGCAGGCTGGAGCACAGCGCAGCTACCATGTGGTCAGCCAAGAGCCACAAGTCTAGAGCATCTTATTTACACACGCAGGCAACCGGCAGCCACTCCAAAGGCGCATGTAAGCGCCGCACGTGTGGGCCTCGCAACGAAGCCGAAGCTCTGCCGGCCATCAAATCAGCCATAATACAAAAACCCTGCAGCCATGTGCAACCACCCCTTGGTGGATGGTGGCTCCGCCGCGTCGCAGTCCCATCCTTCCTGCCCTGAAAGCTGCTTTGGCTTGATGCAAGGTTTGATGCCAGCACGCAGGCCTGCCTGACCTTGAGACACCACATATTGCCAAACACATCCCCAACAAGAACCACTCGCACTTCTGACGGCTGTCTGCTTGGCAGGCCGCTTGACCCCACCAGATGCCTTCTAGTAAATCCCTCAACCCCCAACCCATGGGGCGCGGTATGGCCTGAAGAGCTGAGATGCGTGTGCAGCCTGCCCTCAGAGGCAAGCCGTCCCGCCTTCTGGGTGGCCACTGCTGCCTGGCACGCAGAAGGCACGATTTGCAGGGGCGTGGGCCTGAAGGTAAAAGATTGGTGTCCACCAGGCATTCCAGGCTCTCAAGGTCTAGGCTGGTGCATGCTGGAATGGTTCATGAGCGCCCGGGGAACGGATCGGCTTGCATGTGTGTGCCAGGCTCCTGCGGCGTTTTTTGTCAGGCCTGCGCGCAGGTCCGCGCCGCCGCCGCGTGCATGCGGGCCGAGCATCGGTTGTATATATGATGGTTCGTGTCTCAGCACGTGGCAATGCTTGGGATCGAGGCATGCAACGTTGGTTTGACCATCGATGATCATGTGTGCTCGGCCGGACGTGTACGTCAGTGCATCGCCGAGAGTTTCAGTCATCAATAAAACTATGAAGTGTCATAATTAATGCGTCGAAGGCGATCGCGGTCGACTACACGGCCAGGCTTATTCGCAGGGTTGACCAGAAAATCATCAGCAAGGAGGGCATCATACAGGGGCACCCTCGACATTTTGGTGCTCAAACATGCTTGACTATACCCTCAAACACTCGGGGGTCTCCAGGCTGGGCACCACTTGCAATGACATGGCAGCTCTGCATGCATCTCCACCGTGTCGCACTCGTGCTCTCGTGACAACACCCCCTGTAGCACGACCTGCACCCCTCCCCCTTGGGCCTTGCTTCGCAACCCAAGCTGACCGGGAGCCACTCGCATAACTCCTGGGGGGCCCAACACATAGTTGCACTTTGGTTTGGCGCTCCAGGGACTTGTGGTGTGTTTTGCGGTCTTGGGCTCACTCACCTTGAGAGTTTTGATGCTCCCGGCACCGCCGGTCCCACCTCTGGCCGAGCCGCCGCGCGCGCGGTGGCTGTGACGCCAGAGGCAAGGAGAGCCAAACCAATTTTCCGAACGCCGCGGCTTCAACGGCCGACGGCTCCATGCTGTTCTTGCTTTTGTGGAGAGGGGTCGCCCCACTGCCCTGTCGATCCGCCAGGCAATGCGTCCCAACTTCGCCCTAGCCCTGCACTCACTGCTCCGCAACGCTTGGTTGGCTGCGTAGAAGCTGGCACGGCATTGTTGCTCACGCACAATGACAACGTATTGCCAAGGTGCATACCGGTGGGATGTCTAGGCTGCACATCATTGGGACCCCGCTGGTTGATCGTCCCTTCTCTACACATTCCCTCTTTCGCCTCAAATCTCCAAGGTAGCACGGCAGCATTCAGTCCATCGTGGAATGCGTTTCCTTCCTACCATGCGCAAGGCCAAAGCATGGAGGCCGTCAGATGCTGACTACAGCTGCAGGCGTTCTGAACTATTGCGGCCGCCTGAGACGTCGCCGCGTGCCGCTGCCCAGCGCTTGCCGCAAGCCGCGGCCCCACCATGCCATGGATGCGTTCGTTTCATTTACACAGGGGGCATGCTCAGAGGCGTGCCAATTGAGCAAGGGGGCTCGCCGGCGCGGCCGGCGGCCCATCGTATTTGAATTAGTGAGAGGGACGCGGAGACGCGGTGCGGCGCGGCCGCCCGGCGGGGCGAATTATGGCCGCCGGTCGGCGCCGCCACGGACGCGCGGGCCGAAGCCGCGGGGCAAGCAGGGCGGGGGGTCGGCCCTCAAGCGGCGGTGCCGGCGGTCTCCTTGGCGACCGTCGAGCGGTACTCCGTCCGCGCGCCGCCGGCGCCGACGCCGACGTCCGAGCCCTCGCCGCCGACAAAGATGTCGACCGCGGGGCGCATCTCGCTGCAGGCGGCGAGGGCGGCGTGGACGGGGTCGCTGAGGAAGCCGGCAAAGACGTCCTTGTCGCCGGGCTCCTTGTTGTCGATGGCCACAAAGGCCTGCGGTCGGTTGCGGTCGGGGACGGTTGGTGTGACTGGTCGGTTGGTTGATTGGCTGGTTGATCGGCCGGGCTGGAGGGGTCGAAGTGGGATCGACCACGGGTTGAGGCACGGTTGTGATGTGGCCTCGTTTCCCCCTCGCTCTCTGACCTCTCTGTGACTCTCTCCCATCATGTACTCACTGATAGGATAATGGCGCGCGGATTGCGTGCGCAACCGCACACAGCGCAACCAAGCACCAGCGTCAAACACCGCTACCCCCCCCCCCCCAAAAACACACCTGCTGCTCCAGGATGTAGTCGAACCGCGGCGCCCACTTGCGGCTGCCGAGGCGCGCGGTGTAGGAGCAGTTGTCCACCATGAACGCCACGCCGCGCGCGTGCATGTAGGGGTTGAGCGAGTCCACGGCCTCGATGATGGACTCGTTGCAGATCTGGTGGGGGAGGGGGGGACCGGCAGGGTTGATTGCTGGCGGGCGTCGTCGTCGTCTTCCAGAGGCGAGTAGGTTGGTGGGAGGTTCCACCTCGCCGCTGCAGTGACACACATCCACGAGCAGTGGGCGGGGCGAACCGAGTAGGGGCTGCAAACGACGCCCCTGTTGGGAGGACCCAAGGTGAGGCGGCGGCCGCCCGCACCTCGCTGTAGGGGTGGCCCTTCTCCCGCAGGGTCTGCACTGTGGCCATCATGGTCGCGACGTAGACGCCCGCGGTGAAGGGGTCCAGCGGAATCTCAGATTCCACGCGCTTGGCGCGCACCGCCTGGCCCACCTGCAGGCACGCAGGCGGCGGGCGGTCGGAGAAATTCCGTTGGCTGGCGTCGATGGAAGCAGATGGGGTGGACGAGGGGTTTCGGCCGGGCGGCGGGCGGCGCAGGGGCCGTCGGGCGCACGGTTTTCGAGGGTGAGCGGATGCGAGGGGCAGGACAGCCCCGGCGGCAACGCGTACGATTTGCAAAACACACGGCGACAAGAGCATGCTGGCAGGATGGCGTCCACCCTATCAGCCGCCCAGCAAAAACGACAGCCCACCGACTCCCTGGCCCCCGCCCCCCCACCTTCCACATGTAGGTCTGGTCGATCTTGCCCATGGGGAAGCGGTCAAACCTGCTGCCGGCCTGCACCACGCTGCGGATCTCGTTGCCGCTGGCCACGTCCTCGTAGATCTCGTAGCACACGTCCAGGGCCGGCTTGAAGGACGCGGTGTACGCC